ACATCACCTGGTCGTTCAATTTACCCAAGGCACCCTGGTGGGGTGGAATTTTTGAAAGACTTGTCAAATCCACTAAGAGGTGTTTAAAGAAGACTGTTGGAGGAGCTCAATTAACTTACGAAGAGCTCCTGACGGTGGTCGCTGAAGTGGAGATGATATTGAATTCCCGTCCAATATCATATGTTTCTACCGAAGATCTACAAGAACCACTCACTCCGTCACATTTGTTAACGGGACGAAGATTACTGAGTATGCCAGAGCAGGACATTGGCAATGACATATTAGATCCCGAATTCTCGTTAAACGATAAGGACTTAAGTCGAAGAATGAAGCACTTGAGCACACTAATGAATCATTTCTGGACCCGTTGGCGTGACGAATATTTAATGGACTGCGCAATTCACACCGCGGTAAGAACGACAACGGAAAGGGAACTATCCGTGCGGGGGATATAGTTGTGGTTCACGACGAGTCGCAACCTCGAGCATGTTGGAGATTGGGCAAAGTCGAAAGGTTGATCAACGGAGAGGACGGAAACGTGCGGGGAGCGATCGTTAGAATCAGTCCAAAGGGGAAACGGCCGACGACTTTGAAAAGATCGGTACGGTTACTTTACCCACTAGAGGTAAGGTCCGACTCGGAAGCTGAAGAAAATCGGTACGGAAAGAACGAATTCGACGAAGCGATCGGAAATGAAATGAACCAAGTCGAAGTAAAGAGACCAAGACGTGAAGCGGCGAAGCGGGGAGAAGAACGGCGAAGGAAATGGATCAAGGAACTGAATGACAGCTAAGTAGCTAGTGTAGAGATATTGCGATAGTAGAAAGACTACTTGCATTGACAACGTTGATAATTCAAATTTGTAGACTACGTAATTGTAGTTTAGTTGTTTCACTGTTTGTTGACCAGTAGTTGCATGCACTGGTCAACGGGGGGAGTGTCAAAGATTGCGTAATATTCTATGACGTTTATTTTGTGAACACATGGAATACTAATGAGACGAGCGTAGAGTTTTCATATGGCAGCGTTTTTGTAATAAAGTTTGTGTTATTTATATTTTAATGAGTCTGAACCACGCATGAGTTGAGCCTTGAACCTTGGAGAAAGGAGTCCTTTGAGAGTTTTAATCTAAATATTTTACAATGCATGATTCATTTGGTTTGGGAATTTCATATCATTCAATATTAGTCAGTGCATGATTAATTAAACAGATTAATCGCCCCTGTCCAGTGTACGGAATACTAAATATACAGTAGACATTGCGTTTATTTTGTATTACTAGCTTTCGATCGGCAAGCCTGCATGCAGGATGTTCCCCAGTGTATTAAATTATTATAGACTATATGGCACCAATAAAGACCAGATTCAGATCGACAGCTTCCCCAAAGCCGTCCAATTAGGCAAAGAAACAAACGGTTCCACAAAACAAAATAAAACAAAACTATCGAGGCTATAATATTTTTGGCATGCAATCCTATAGTCTATACAGGGTCAAGGATCGTATTGTGCTTTATCACAATGGTATCAAGATAACGAAAATTAATATATCTATTTAATGGGAAAAAGACACAAAATGCGTGATAGCGACTCCGAATTACGGCAATTAGAAATATTTCGAATGTTCGGTACTTTAAAAAATATTTATTTTAGCTTCGGCGTATTAAATTGCCTGAATGTCTACAAAGCTTGTCTTCGTCTGTGATATTTGCCCATAAACAGGAGAGTTTACTGTAATGGCAACGAAATATAAGTCTGCATTGAGTTATAGGCAGAAAGAACATGTTGACAAGATAACGAAATATATTTAATGAAAAAAAAACAAACACAAAATGCGTGCTAGCGACTATCTTTTTATCTCCAAATTACGGCAATTAGAAATATTTCGAATGTTCGGTACTTTAAAAATATGTTTAGCTTCGACGTAATTGCCTGAATGTCTATACAAAGCTTGTCTTCGGCTGTGATATTTGCCCATAAACAGGAGAGTTTACTGTAATGGCAACGAAATATCAAATATAAGTCTGCATTGAGTTATAGGCAGAAAGAACATGTTAACAAGATAACGAAATATATTTAATGAAAAAAAAAAACACAAAATGCGTGATAGCGACTATCTTTTTATCGCCAAATTACAGCAATTAGAAATATTTCGAATGTTCGGTACTTTAAAAATATATTTAGCTTCGCCTTCGGCGTAATTGACGATTACGTTTTCGTAGCGCTTTGCATTGTGGTTATAGTCGGGTATCACTGATATTCAAGAATGCTTATTTGTCCTGACCCGTGCAAGAACTTTTAAAAAAAGCTAGGGTCAGGTGCGCGATAGCCAACAGCAAAATATTCGCGAAAACATTCAATATTTTCATTCGAGGTCGCTATCTTTATCAGTGTTACCACTATAACCATGCACAATGCAAAGCGCTACGAAAACGTAATAAGGGGAATCTAGTATTTTCTACAAAGCTTGTCTTCTAACATGCAGGAGAGTTACTTTACTGTAATTGTAAAGGCAACTGGCATGGTAGACTTTACGGATTGCGGATTACGGATTGCGGATTACGGATTGCGGATTGCGGATTACGGATTGCGGATTACGGATTACGGATTGCGGATTACGGATTGCGGATTGCGGATTGTGAACCCATGCAAATAGTTTATTTCTTTGGAAAAAAGCCACAAGAATTGCCTGTAGCTACTTGTTGCTATGCTATGCCCCCTAGGAAATGGCTATATATGTCTTGGTTATAACGCAGTATATCTGCGTTAGAATGAAACAGCCGAATATTTCGACAATAAAGAATAGGCTACTTGTAAAACATGGAACGGGGAATCCCAGAATGGAATGGGGAATGGAATGACCCGGAATTGTGAAAGCCGGAATCTGTAAAACCCGGAATTGTAAAAGCCGGAATCTGTAAAACCCGGAATTGTAAAAGCTGGAATCTGTAAAACATGGAATTGTAAAAGCCGGAATCTGTAAAACATGGAATTGTAAAAGCCGGAATCTGTAAAACATGGAATTGTAAAAGCCGGAATCTGTAAAACATGGAAATTAATTTAATTATATGTCAAGTTTTGGCGGAGGCTCTGACACGAGGAGACCGAAAATCCC